ACTAGTAAGGCACCTGTTACTACTAGCGTGGCACTTGTTCCTAGTAGCCGAATCAGCCCCGCCTGCTGTTTGAGGTCAAAGCCCACCTCCCGAGTTGGGGATCTTCACGACTCGACCGCGATTGGAGACTCGGTCGGCGGACGGGAGCCCGGGGTCCATGGGGTCGGTCTCGCAGTTTGACCCATCCAGGTCTTTCGAGATAACAACGCAATGCCAAGCAAAGAAGAACTGACGAAAGAAACGACGCAGGTGGACGAGCTTGGAAGAGGCTATGGCAGAGGCTACCTTTCGTGAACAGAGCTCAGCTGAGCAGTTGAGGGCTATTGTCTCCGTTCCTGGGCACCAAAAAGAACAGCTCCGACCCTGGGCACCTTCTTCTTCTGCCGCGGATCTGGCTGAATGCCTCATGGAGTTGCCAGGGGATCCAAATGTTTTTTTTTGTTCTGACATGGACAAGTATGGCTGGAATTCCTCCAAATATTGGGTTTGATTGGGTCTTTCAACATGTTTGGGTTTTTGTCAATAAACCGTTGATAACATGTGGGCTTCATAGCGGTACGGCTTTGTACGGTATTGTTTTTTGTCCATACGGCTAAATAAGCTAGCTCTTTAAGAAAAATGTCCATGCGAGAAATTCTGTCCAAATACGGCCTTCGCACGAAAAATAGATCATACGCCTTTCCAGGTGACTATAGGCATCTATAGGCCAATTGCTGTCACAGTCGAATGGCAGCACCCCAAGACCTATATATGATTATATAATATTCTATATGCATGTTATTGAATGTTAGTCACAACAACATGGTTTGTTCTGGAGTTTCTTTTCTGGTTGTGGATAAACATGTGGCCAAAGTGTGTCCCAAGTGGAATATAGGGCCAATATCGGCCAATGCAAGTCAACTCGCCGGAATGACAATCATGCGGTTGCTACAAATACCCAGCCTGCAGCAATTTGCCGCACCAAGGCATCAAATTCACCTCTGACATGCTTGGACGGCTCGAAGACTTCTCTCAACACCCCTAGGTCAACCATGGTCAACTCATCCCAGCTGCAACGATGCTTGTGGCGTTCTCAAACTTCGACACATCCCCAGGTCAACGTCGCTTTCACTCATCTTCGGATCGAAGATGTGTGATGGAGAAGCAAACCAACCCGAAGAGAATCGAAGCGGTGAGCTTGTCACCGGCAGAGCGGCCCTCCTTGGTGCGGGTGTCACCGGTGTCACCGCCTGACTTGCTGGCGGCATTGAGGTGCAACATCGCCAGATCCTGCTCGAAATTGCCACGCACCTGGTCGAAAGCGCAAAAGAAGCTCAAGTACAGTAGACACTAGTCACTAGTCGCTAGTCAAACAACTTCAGCTGTTCCGGTCAAATCGGCTTTATTGGCTTTACTGAAAGCTGTTGGTCAAAGCGAGGGTACCCACACAGTCTGGCCAAGACGACGTTCCATGATTCTGCGAGGTCCTCTACAGGGCCCCTGCCATCATCTCAGAGCGGAAGGGACACGCAGGCCCCACTGGCAGGACCTCGGCCAAACATGTGGGGAGCAGTTGAACTGGCAATGCTCCCGAACCGCGACTGAACAAAAGAGACTGGATTTGAAAGGATCCCGTTGTGAAGTATGCTACAGTACAGAATTCTTGCGACATGACATGAGGAAAGAATACAGAATCTAGCAACATTGAAGAAGAGCAATATGCTGTTCCTGGAGTCCCATACCATCAGGTTGCAACATGCCGCAACTAAAAATAGAGGAGACCGCCACCCAAGGGCTTCCCCCAGGTTGCCTTCAACATCCGTCAACTCTGGTGTTGCTCAGAACCCTGATCTTATCAAACTATCCCACCGCACATCAAGCTTGAAGACAGGTGGAGACCATCGCTATTGGGAGCGATGGCCATCGCTGGTAGGAGCTTGAAGACCGGTTTCTCATCACCATCGGCTGTTCCGTCTCCAACCTCGAAAGGACAGGTTTCTCATCAGCTCGGGGGCGGGTTCCTGCTGTCCAAGAGAACTGGAACCCTCCAAGGTGTCTCCCGCCCATCATATGCCATCTGGGTCACATAATCAAACTGGTCCTCATCGGACTGGCATCTCTGAACTACTTCAGCTTCCACAGCCTCTCTCGATGTGGGATGGCCTGACCGAGCTGGGCCAGGTCTTGTTGTTCCGTTGTTCGATGGTGGGCCTGACCATGGAGTTGTGGCTCACTTCCCCCGAAGACCTTCAAAGACTTCACAATGTCCTTTCTAGACTAAAAAATGGACTGCTCAAGTTTGACCTACACCCTAGTTGTGAAAGGAATGAATATGCCGCATTTGATTGCCTTGGACTTCCCAACGTTCAAGATACTGTCTTCAGCACCGTCTTCAACAACTCCATGGGCGGCAACGTCTTGACTTCCTCTCAACTAGTTTACCATCACGATCTGCAAGAATCAATGGGCATCACGGATCATCACCTCACATGGCCATGGAAAATGGTTCAAATGATTGGGTCCACTCGATTAAGGGCCAATAGAATGATGTACCATTCCCAGGCAGTTTCTCCAAACACGAGAGTCAGCGCGTGCCTCTTCTTTGGAGACTTCTGCTCACAGTAAAACTTGGTGCTAAAATTCCAGCCTGAGACGAGAGAAGGGGCGACTTGCTGGACGGCAGCAAGTGAAAAGACCAATCTTCTCACTAACATATGTCATGTGTCATAGTCTATAGTCATATGACATCTGTGCTCCACCATACCACAATGTCTTTGTCTCCTGCCCAAAAGACTCATCTCGACCGGAAACCCAAAGAGATGCACTGGGCTGCGCCGGCCAAAGCACAAACCAGGACTCTCTTGGAAGAACAAACTGGGCGCCAGGGCCAAGTGATGAGGGCGCCAAAGAGATAGGAAGGGTGTTCAGCCCATGATGTGGCGGAAATCAACATCATTGAGGCCAAGCATACCCTAGATATGATCTCAGCAAACACAATAGAATAAAGCAAAACATAAACCATAATATATATATATATATCTGTGTGTGTATGTGTAGATATATATATAAGATATAAATATATGTGCAAGCGCCTGGGGGCTCTGAAATGTTCATGAGCCCAAAGATGTATGTTGCATCCATCTTGTTGCATCCTTCATGCAACGTAGTGATGGATTTGCGCTCGAACAAATTGATGTATTCGTTTCCTTCGTTGCTTGGAACCGCCTACACATCCCACACAACTGCAGACGCGACATCCAGCGACTCCTTCATCCACTCGGAAGGAGCGACTCGAATGGGTGGAAGATATCAGTCAAACTATCCAACAGTGGATTTCTTGGCTGGAAGACTTCGACCCCGGCCACGCAGGGTATCTGAAAAATACTAGGAGTTATCATGATCATTCATGGTCCACATGATTCAGCCCAATGGTTCTGCAGTTGCCCTCCCTGAGAATGCTTTCTTCACTAGCTTGCGGTCAGCCCAAACCTCCAGCTCACTTGGGCTTGCACTGCAGATCCGCCGCCTGCGTTCGCTTCGAACACACCGAGTCTCCGAGGCGAAGGAGTGGACTCCTTCGTCCCCAGACCATGTTCCCACCTTGTCTTCAGGCGAAGGTCCATGGCACCAAGAGAATTCCAGCTTGCTAGTGCAGTGTGGGGTCCTAACGATTGAATTAGAGAATTCATCTCATTAATAATTGTTCTCTATGTTACATGTTCTAATATTAAGATTGACTGTGCTTGACTTCAAAGGCTATCCAAGCAATTGCTGATCTGAACAAGTCTATCTCGTTCCTGAGCGCAACTGCAAGTGAGTCGCTCAGGGCAGTGGATTGATTGGTGGGGTGTTGAAAACCATCCGCCCATCCGAGACGATCATCACTCTTGAACGGGGGCGTCGCCATGCGGTATGGTGTCTTGCCAGCCTGGTCTTGAGTGGGAAAGGCTCGGAAAGGCTCCGAAAATCCAAGGGACCAGGCCGTCTCCCATTGTGCGACACACGCGACGGGCAGCTCGTCTCCCATCTGCCAGCTGCTACGGGCAGCTCGTCAAGACTTGTGCCCCTGAGAATTCGGTCTGTGGAGATTCTCCAGAAGCATTCGGTCTCTTTTTCTCCTCACCCGGCATTCTTTCCTCCATCCATCTGGTGCACCCGCATCACTTCTCGCCTCAGATCCATCTGGTAGCTCCGACAGATCCGGGGCAGTCGAAAGCCCTATGGTTCCAACATGTTCACAATCAAAACCATTTGATGAATTTGATGAAGAGCCCAAGCCCAAATAAGGCTTATGAAAATCTTTAGCTGCTACGTGTTGGAAACTGCAAAAATATTTCATTTTCATTTGGTTATCATTTCATGTTAATTTAATTATCATTTTATTATCATTTTGGAACTTCATTTTTTTTTCGTTTTTTTATCGTTTTTTTTATCATTTGTGTATAATGTGGTGTTGAGCTTACATTTAGGATTGAACTAGTTATTCTTCCAATGGGATTCGTGTTGCTTTTGCTGTTTGGTCAGTGAGGTCTGTGTTTGTATAATAAAGCTATATGTATATATACAATTGAATTTGCTGTGCTTGCTATGCTCATTGAATGCATCTGACAATTGCATGCTTCTTCAGCTGTGAGGAGGTTTGTGAGGCTTTTTTGGAGTGTGAGGAGTAGTCCGAAGTCACATAACTACTACTGGCAGTAACTGCAACTACTAGTTACTACTGACTACTTACTACCACCACTACCAGGTACCACTTACCAGACCATACAGCTGTGTATGGTTCTGCTGGTTGACAAATATGTGTGTGTGTGTGTCAATTATAGATAGATATATATATATATATTAATCGTTGAACATCAATGATTCCACAGGATGCATCTCCTACTTAGCTGCCGTTGATTAATCGTTTATTTAATAAGCCAATTGATTTTTGCTGTTTAGCTTAGCGTCTATCTGCTATCTTCAAAAGGTCGTGTGCCACACCTGGAGGTGGAGTCCGGCCTTTGCCAACTAGCCCACTCTTTCCGCTTCGTCAATGTGAGTTCAAAGCCCATATCATGACAAGAAAACAAGGCAAACACGCAACTCCTTTTCACAGCCGCGAAAAAGTGCAAAAACTGCCTTTCACAACTGGCCGTTTCATCTTGAGGAAACAGGGTATCCCAGGGAGTCTCCGAAATTTTGAGACGCGCCCATCCCTTGAAGAAGGCAAATGGCCACAGATCCTCCTCCTGCTGCCGCATGACTTCCTCAAGCACCTGGCCGGGTGATAATTGTTTGAGCCACAGCCATTGGACCGCCGGATGTCATTGTTTCACGAAAGGTGAAGCTACAAAGCAACTCACCTAGCTTGGGGTGCTGCATGCTGCTGTTGCCTGCTCACCTAGCTTGGTGTTGCAAAAAAAAGGAAACATGAGCCGTCTGCAAATCCACAAGTCGCGTTCCAATTATTGATACATACACCCACGAGTTTGATCATCCTTTTGGTGGGCGCCGGTGCCACCACAAATTAAGAAACTTACTGCAGTTCCTGAAACTATCTTCGATTGTCTTGTTGGGGGGCAAAGAGCAAGGGCGCAGATTGTCCAACGGTGGCACAGCCCTAATTTGCAGTCCTAAAAAGCCTCTCAGGATGAACGCTTCCAGTTTCCAGAGATGTCGAACTCTACCCTGGAGCAAAAGCAAATCGGAACAAGCAGCAGCGCCGCGACAAACATTATCAGATCCCCCAGATGTGCCTCTTCATGAGACTTGTCCGTCAACGCGGGTGCGAGGTCCTAGCGATCAACCAGGTAACCACCTCAGAATGACTTGATAAATCATCCTGGCACTGGTTTTAAACACCAAAAACTCCAGCTGAATTCCATGCCGATTCAGCTGCTTCTTCGAGTTTGTGGGCTTTTCCCTCCCTGTGCAGCTAGGTCCTGCGCAATGCCTGTCAGCTCATCAAAGTTAAGCGCCTGGAGGAATAAACACAGTCACAGTGGCTAGACAGAACTATTTCAGCCTCAATGTCCAAACTTGGGCCTCGCGGATGTCAGCCTTCCATAGACTTCGTATGACTTCGTAACCAGACAGAACGTCCGACAGTAATGTCCGACAGACGGAACGTCCGACAGTATTGGCTGAAAGGATCCACGATCCACTTCCTGTCAAACGACTCACCCCGGCCATCGACATGTCGAATGGCCTCATCTCACCCTGGCCTTGAGGCTGGCACTTCTGAGGACCTTTCGTTGGCTTCGACGCTCCACCTGGTCAGGCGGTCGAAAGAGTTGGGCAGAAGCGGTCTGGTCCGAACATGAGACTACCACAACCTGTAACCTCTCAAGTTACTAATATTCATTGTATAGGATTAATCAAGAATACTCAAGAAATCCTCCACCTCTGGATCGCCGGGTGTGGCTGGCGCTGCTGCCCTGCGAAGCAGGTGGACCAGCTGCGCCTGCCCAAGCAGAACATCATCTGGAAGCCATTGCTGGCTTGCAAAAATTCTACAAAGACATTCTCAATGTTCTGACCTCTTGAACACCCTGTCCTAAGTATGTCCAAGTCCGAGTAGAAAAGTATGGACTCGAGATTTCATGGGATCTTGCATTTGAGAAAAAAGAAGACCCGGACACATGGTCGCCTTGGGGATCTCGCCGTCCACTCGTCCCAACAGTCGCCTCAAGGCTCGGGCTCGGTTACGGACAGCCTGGATTCTGTTGGTCAAAAGACTGCCCCCTTAACCCTTTGGATGTGACTCAAAAGAAAGCCAGGGACCCCAAGTAGTTTGTGCTCTTGTGCCTCCTTGACAGTCCTGGACTTTCTTCTGCCGATTTGTTTTCTGTGCTGCTTTGGAGCCATCCCCACATATTGCAACTGAGCATCCATCGGTTTTCCGCGGCGTGCTCTGCACAGAACCACTCCTCCAGCTTTCACCAAGCAATTAGGGAAGAGCTGCTCTAACTTTTAAGTTCACAGGTCGTTGCATTCCTCTCAAATCCAGAGCTTCCAAAGTGTTGATTTTCCGGACAAGTCTACAATTGCAGTCAGACCATGAGTTTGGGCTTGGGTTGGCTGAGCTCGAGGTTTCCTCACCGCATCGTCTCATCAAGTCTCATGAAATCCCGCCGGCGTGCGGCGATCTCATCGTCCCCACGCGGAGACGGAGGTCTCATCTCCTGCAACCTCTTCCTGGTGCATTGCCCCACCTTCGTGCCATGCCTCGTTACGGACTGAAGAGGACACCCTTGCAAGAAGGTCAAGGACACCCTGGCAGCGCATTCGCAATTCCTAAAGCATGTTGATGGGATGCAGGTGCTGTCGTGTAGCTTTATTTTTATGTGTTTTGTGTTGATCATTCCCAGCAACAAGTGGTTCCTCAGGGTAAGTGCGGAGTTTCAGGTAGCAACTTGAGGGCTCCCAGACTGCAGTGGTCAGAAAGTCCAAGCCTGCTCACGGCTCTCTGCCAGAACCCTTACTGTATGCAAGATAGAAGTTAAGTCACACAGTCTCTGGAAGTTTGGGACGCGTATCGTTTCAGCACCTTCGAGACACATCTTGCTAAGGCACAGGCTGAACCCGCGCATAGCAGCAGCTATCATCGATGGCCTCAAGACCCAGAACCGTAAAGAAACAATGAGAAACAATATATAATATATACACGGGTAGAGTAGATGGCACAAACCCCAAAAGGTGGTTTGTATGGACCCCTACATAAAAGACATCTTGGGGTTGTGCCATCTACTCCGAAACCACTATATATAACCTGCCACCATCTGTCCTCTACCTGGGCACTCTGCCACTTTCTGTGTCTTCTTAATGAGGGGGCATCTAGAGCAGTCTGTCAGCTCACAAGGGTGGTGCGTATGCAGTCTCCACTGGTGGACACCAAACAGAATCGTTGAAGAAACAGACTTTGTCCCGCGTCTATTGATGTCATTTCACATCTCTTTGGAACTATCCAGGACATTACAGGACAGAAGAATACTGCCAAGCTTGAGACGACATCTAACTACGCAAATCGACCCCTGTTTGCTTTCTGGCCCCTCCTCTGCCACTGGAGAGAAACGCGAAGACAAGGCTTGTCCCTGGACTCAGCTGAAGACGGAGAGACAAATGGTTGCATCATGTTGTATCCAGCCGGTTCACAGGTTTCAAGAAAGAATTGGGCATACCGTATATATTTTAAAAGCCAATTCCAAGGAGCACCCTCTTCTTTAGGTGTGTCATTCAAAAGTAAGATTTGCTTCTTCTTTGCTTTCCAAAGGGCACCCTGAGACGACGTGCATGCTGGGGAGTTCTCTTCATGCCGCCAGCGAATGGATTGTGACTGACAACAACTCTGCAAGGTCAGGTAAGTGACTGAATAGCTGCTACTTGTGGAGCCCCGTACACAGTTGGAGAAGATCCATCACTGATACTTTCCAACAAGAAGATGAACGGGGTGGGTCGGAGATCAGTCCTGTTGCACCTGTCATCTCACCCTGGCCTTATGTGGGCCCGGCACGGTCACCACCTGGTGCTTGGGGATGAGAATCTCGGATGTCCACACATCTGGTGAACAACGGTCGCCAGGCTACAAAGTCTGAGACCTTTCCTTGCATTTGCCCAGCCATCATATCCTTTTCAATCCGATGTGGCCTCCTGGCAATCATCGATTTCCTCCACATCATGGTCAGCTTGTCGCTTCAACCCCATGGCTTTCACTGGGGCAGG